CACCATGCCCAGCCATGCTGAAGCTTTCTGAGCCCAGTCCTCTTGGATTTTTTTTTTTTTTTTTTTTTTTTTTTTTTTTTTTGAGAGATGGAGGCTTGCTCCGTCACCCAGTCTGGAGTGCAGTGGCGCAATCTTGGCTCACTGCAACCTCCACGTCCCAGGCTCAAGCAATTCTCCTGCCTCAGCCTCCCAAGCAGCAGGGATTATAGGTGCATGCCACCATACCTGGCTAATTTTTGTAGTTTTAGTAGAGATGGGGTTTCACCATCTTGGCCTCAAACTCCTGATCCACCCACCTCAGCCTCCCAAAGTGCTGAGACTACATGGCCACTGTGCCCAGCCATCCTCTTAAGTTTTTAATGGAAGCTTCAGGATGTCAGCATTCCTTTCCCAATTTCTCCCTCTGGAATGAGGATCTTATGACCCACCATTGGAAAGGCAGGGGAAGATTAGAGTCCTGCCTTGGGGCAGGTGAAAGGAGGGCAGGAGAAGGCTGGAGAGATTCTGTTTCCTGAGGCCTGATACACTCCTGCAGTCTGTATACACTCACATCATAACACAAGACTGACAGGGTCTATGGGAATTAAGAGCCAAGAACTGTAGACAAAAACCTAGAGAGAGAGAGAGAGAGAGAGAGAGTGTGTTTGTATATATGTGTATGTATATACATATAAAATATATATATTATATATATGTATAACCATTTGCCCAAGGCTACAGAGTGGCTGAGGGTACCACCATTCCTAGACAAAGAGTGGGGACCAGTGGAGAAAAGTTTGGCCTGGCCCTGGGAGGGGGAAGCATTGGACAGCCTGCCTCTGCTTTCTCTATTGTGGGACAAGGATGGCTCATCGGGCTTCCCTGGGCCCATGTGGAGAGACCCCTCAACACTCTTGGCCCCTCTTAGCATGGCCCACTAGACCACTGCTGATGCCCTCATTTGACTTGCTCAGGATGGAAACCTGAATGTGTCAGGCACTGGACAGTAGTCATGCTCACTCTGCTCCAGCCATGCTGGCCTTTCAGTCCCCTGTCTCACAGCTTTGACCCAGGTTCTTCTCTGCCTAGAATCTGCCCCATCCCTGTTACCCAGTAAACTCCTATCCCTGCTTTAGCTCCCAGCTCAGATATTCCTCCCTGGGGAGGTCGCTCCTGGCTGGAAGACTAGATAAGGCCCCTCAGCCTCACGCTTTCCTAAGTGCACTGACGGCAGCTCCTCACCGTGCAAGCTGTGGGGTGCAGTGGAGGGTGAGCCAGGGAAGCTGGCCTGTGTCTGTTTTGCTCGACCTTCCATCGAGCACAGTGCCTAGCAAAGAGGAGTTAGTGGGTGAGTGTTGCTATTTATGGGATGCCAGTCAGGTCCAGGTGCCTCCTGTGGGTGATGCCAGGGTCAGCCAGCCGCTTTTCCCCAGAAGACCTATCCTGCAGTAACCGATACATTAAAATGCTAATAGGAAAGAATGGAAGGGCTTCCTGACTTCCTGTGTAAACACTTAAAAGGGACTTATGGAGACCACTCATTTTGTCCTGTTCTGTCCCTGGGTATGACTTTAGGGTGGGACTTTCACATTCTGAAGTAAAAATAAACCCATAGCAGGAGAGGGTATAGGATCTATTTTAGGGTAGGGGAGAGGCCTGTTTCAGAAACTTTCAAATTGCAGGGCCTATCCTGGAAGTGTAGAAAAAGGTGTTTAATAGGAGAGGAGCATGATTTCATTATGTTAAAATAATGTTTACAAAGAGCTTGTAAGAATGCTCCAAGAAAATGCACATGCTATATAATCTAAACATATGTACATGCTATATAATCTAAATTTATGTACATGCTAATATAATCTATATGTACATCATGTACATCTCATTTGATCTCTCTTATGTAGAAATACGCATTCCTAATAATGGCTTATTCAATGTCACAACAACTCTTTAAAGTAGGTCGTTACCTCCATTTTGCAGATAGAGGTTAGATAATTTTCCCAAGGTCACACAGCTAGTAAAGGACAGAGTTCATATGTCAAACCCAGTCGGGCAGGCTCTGTAGCCCCTGCTCTTAACCACTATATTATGCAGGGGAAATCCATCCACATGTTGTCTTTGGGTGGTGGTTTATTTTCTCCTCCATTCTCCAGGATTTTCTATTTGGATTTACCATAGGAGTTAAATGATAAACTTTTGAATAGGGAAGAAGGTGGGGTGGTGAAATTTGAAGGCCAAACATAACGCTTTCAAACAAAAGAATTCTCTCCATTTCCTTTTCCGCTTTTCTAAATTTTCCAGAACTGATGACCACCCCAATTTTACGGCCCACTGAAGCCCTGTCCCCAGAAGATGGAGCCAGCACAGCACTCATTGCAGGTAACAGACTCTGAGCCAACTCCAAGGGACATTGTGGATCAAGACTTCTCTCACCAGAGAGAGCCTGACCAAATCCATTAATGGGCTCACTCAGGCTTGTAAGTTATCTAAAACACACACACACACACACACACACACACACACACACACACACACACAGCTATAAAAGACTCAGAGGGTTCCGTCAGAGGCACTACCAGTAAATGATAGGTTGGGAGGTGGCCACAAATAGATATGCATATGGACGTTACACTCGAGTACGTGGGTAGGGACGAGGATATATGTGGTTGGTTGAGTGGGTGAGGAAGAAGGGGAGGATCAGAGAAACCACTTCCTGTTTAGGATAAGCTATTTCCTGTTTCCCTGCTTCCCGTTTCTATCATAAGAATCAGGAACTGGTTTGGGAGGGAGTTCAGTTTTGTCAGAAATCAAAAGCATATGTCCTTAGCTTAAGCATCAAGAGACTCTAGCTGTTATGTACCATGGAAATCCGGGTTGGTGGGGGAACATGGGTTTGGATGGAAGTGGACACTAGTTAATGAAAACAAGACGATCTTTATGAAAACGGTGAGGAAATCGTCTAAACAGATGGCTCCAGGAATTACTGAGACATCCTCAATCCTGAAACATCTCTACATTTTCCCTCTCCTTTCCAAGTTGTTATCACCGTGGTCTTCCTCATCCTGCTCTCGGTCGTGATCTTGATCTTCTTTTACCTGTACAAGAACAAAGGCAGCTACGTCACCTATGAACCTACAGAAGGCGAGCCCAGTGCCGTTGTCCAGATGGAGAGTGACTTGGTTAAGAGCAGAGAGAAGGAGGAATATTTCATCTAATGACTCTCAGGCCCCAAAGAGCTTATTCCTGGCTCCGGCACTAACTCACTGAGTACTTATTACAGGAAAGTTTTCTCTGAAGCCAGGGAGAAGCATCAATTGATGTGGGCAAATCCAAGCTCCAGCCAGGTCGCAGTCCCAAATGCTGACATCACTGACTCCAGGGACCAGGGATGTGGAGAAAGCTGCTTATGGTGTCTTTAACTTGGCTCTCTTATTAGAGCTGGTGGTTTGCGGCTGGCCAAGAAGGTGGGGCTATACCGGGGACATCTGAATATGTGCCCAGTCATCTTTTTTCACAGGTTGGAGAGAAGAGAGTTAGGATGATCAGCAGCTCCACTCTGTCCCCTACCTGGTCACCTAGTGATAGCCCCAGTAGAGATACTCTCCATACAGGTTCTTCCCAGAGGCTGGATACCACAGCAAAAGGCCAGGCCAGGAGGGGTAGGAAGCTATGGAGATCTTACCTCCTGATAAATGTGCTATATCCCCTCATCTGAGCCTCTCCTTTCCATGTTCCCCAGCAACCTCATGCTTACGTGATTTTTATCCAAATTAAAATTTTCATTGCTACGGAAATGAGATTCTCATGTGCAAGAATACCTTTACATTTTGACTTAAACATTTTTGACATTTTCTTTTCCCTATTTAACTCCTTTGCATATGTTCTCTCCCAAGCAATAAGAACCCTAGGGAAGTTCCAGAAGTTTTCATAACTATCTCAGTGGTTTGAGACTAAGATGGTACAGGGAATCTTGTCCCAGAGGAACGCCATTAGAAACGTACCCTGGGAAATGAGTTGGTTTAAGCCTCCGTATTGGCAAGGGCCAGAATTTCCCAGAATCCCATCTACGTATATACAGAGGGAACCAGGAAAAATCAACCTACGACCTTTCCCAATGTATCCTCAGAATCAAGCCAAGAGGCTTCTTAGATTTTGCTTAGTCTCAAAATGAGTTATGTTTAAAAGGCACATTTTGGTATAAATTATTAGCTCATCAGATATTGTTCACTTTGGAATTAAGCTAGATCTCCTTTGATGTTTTAATGAATTGCCTCCGTTGTCTAAGCTCAAACCCAACCAAGACCAAGAGCTGAAGAATTCGGCCAGGTGCGGTGGCTCATGCCTGTAATCCCAACACTTTGGGAGGCCGAGGCGGGCGGATCACTTGAGATCACAGTTCGAGACCAGCCTGGCCAACATGGTGAAGCCCCTTCTCTACTAAAAATATAAAAATTAGCCAAGTGTTATAGCAGACGCCAGTAATCCCAGCTACTCAGGAGGCTGACAGGAGAAACACTTGAACCTGGGAGGTAGAGGTTGCAGTGAGCCAAGATTGTGCCACTGCACTCCAGCCTAGGCGACAGAGTGAGACCCTGTCTCAAAAATAAATAAATAAATAAATAAATAAGCTGAGGAATCTATCTTGGCAGCCTAGATTCCATGAGTTTTCAGTATTTCTCCACATAGAACACTGGAGAAACTGAAGGTCATCCTCAACGTATACAAATTGCTATACCAGAACATTTTCAAGCCAAACTTTAGAGGAAGTTTGGAGAATCAATGGTTCCCTCATTTTTAAGTTTAGGTACTAAATTCCAGAATTTGAAAGAGGTTAGGAAGTAAAATGAGGAAAAGTTGAACATCTGGAATGGAATTCATGAAAATGGTCAAGTCTTAGGCTTGTACTCCTGCCTTTATGTCAAAGCTTTATCAAAGGAAACAGCAGCAGCACCTAGCTGAATTCTAGATGGGATATAAAGATAGAGAAGAAATCTAAAAGCAAGCTAAGTAAAGAATCCTTGCAGTGAGGTGTAATGCAACTTCATCACTTTATTCAAATCTTCAAAATAGTCTTTATTCTACATTTTTAGTATAAAAATTCCACAAGTTAAGTGCACCACAGTGTAGAGAGAGACATACAACGCTGAACTTCCATAACAGTCAATGGTACAGTCAAACATCACATGTACAGAACACACAATTTAGATGAACTGAAATTATAAGATAAAATAAAATAAAATCCAATTTCAGAAAACAAAAATCAAAACATTAAAGGATCCCTGAAATATTCTTAACCCTAATGAGATTTCACTGGACTCAAGTCATTTTGTAGTCAGGCATTCACAATATAACCCTATTAACCCAGTCTAGGAATTTTGGGGAGCCGAATGAGTGGCTGCATCAGACACTGACAAAAAATGGTAACCAATTTTTGATCTGAAAATTCCTCTTAATTTGGCTCTAAACACATCAGGCTTTTGAAATGCATCCTCCTCCTTGCCCCTCGTATTTTAAACCAACTGTTGTTCACAGTACAGTTTGCACGATAACTTTGTTCAAATATAGCTCAGTTTTTCTGGCACCAAAACAAATTTGGGTTAGGTTCGTATATGCAGAGACAACCTATGAGGAGGGCCCAAAAGGCACCCTCCACTTTTGCCTGAGGAGATCTGAAAGCAGAAGTAATGGGATCTGTGCTTGAGGCACAGAGGGGGTTTCAGAGGATCCTTGTGAAAGACTAGTTAAAAGATGACAAGTGGGGAGAAGTGCAAGGAAAGAAGGAAACTAGTCTGACTGGCTTTCTGTCCTGCACCATTGATTCAATGGAGACTGGCGGGAGGAAATGGAAGACTAAGGTTGGAGATGGGATGGGTGGGGCAAGGGATGGAAAGGAAAAGGCAAACAACTAATGCGTTCCATTTAATAACAAGTAATATAAATCAAAGACTTAAAGGAGATTAAAGACCAATCAGAATAATTTGGCAACTTTAATTCTTAGGAAGATCAAAGTTCCCTCCAAACCTAATTTGATGTTTTATTACTAAAAGCAAAGACCAGTATGGTATAGTATTACTCCAGAGAAATTAAAGGAAGATCCTTAGGGTGGCTTCACCCACATTCATTTTATGAATGGATACCTTCCCTACCTCAAAATGCTTTAGGGAGGTACTGCTACCATTACATGGTTCCTTATTAAATTTGAAAAGTGCCTGAAAGTTTGGGCACCAGAAAGACACCCCAACAACATGTGTCTAAACTGCAACTTGAGGTTAATATGACTAAAGCAGTTACATTGTGAGAAGTGCTGAAGGTATATGATGTCTTTCCCGGCACAAAGGTGGCCTTGGTTCCTCACCAGATGGTGTAGCCACCATCTGAACCACCCATGAAGAAGTTCCCCTTCCGCTGAGTTACGAGGACGTTGGCTCCCTGCATGACTGCAAGCTGAGCAGCATTGGGAGGGCATCCAGGAGGTGGAGGCTGAAAAGAAAGGACATAATAGAATGGGCACAGGGAGGCTAATATAAGGGAAGGGGACACAGGGGAAGCAAAGGCCTGTTAGGATATGGCAATGTGCTAACTGCATATACAGGAACTAGTTCTGCTATCAATTTTAGTTCTAAAGTAGGTCTGCATTTTCTGTGAACCCAAAGATAAAAACAGGAAAGGGAGCCTACCACTCATTCAAAGGGTTCCAGCTCTAAGATAAAGCCTAGGACTACCTTGTGAATATGAACAGGCCAGACCAACAGTCATTTCGAGGGTAGGGAACCACTGTCCTACTCACATTTCCAAAACAGGGACAGGGTCCCTACATAGTTTTTAATTTTTATTTTTTTGAGATGGAGTCTCATTCTTGTCATCCAGCCTGGGGTGCAATGGCAGGATCTCAGCTCACTGCAACCTCTGCCTCCCAGGTTCAAGCAATTCTCTTGCCTCAGCTTCCCAAGTAGCTGGGATTATAGGTGCCTGCCACCATGCCCAACTAGACTTTTTTTTTGTTTTTTTTTTTTTTTTGAGACAGAGTCTGACTTTGTTATCCAGGCTGGAGTGCACTGGTGTCATCACAGCTCACTGCAACCTCCGCCTCCTGGGTTCAAGCCATTCTCCTGCCTCAGCCTCCTGAGTAGCTGGGATCACAGGTTCCCTCCACCATGCCAGCTATTTTTTTATTTTTAGTAGAGTCCGGGTTTCACCATGTTGGCCAGCCTGGTCTCAAACTCCTGACCTCAGGTGATCCATCCTCCTCGGCCTCCCAAAATGCTGGGATTATAGGTATGAGCTACTGAGCCCAGCCCCTACATAGTTTTTGAATAAACTACTGGATAACTGAAGGCTCTCTAATGACACATATTCACCTCATCTCTAGCATGTAGTTACTGAGTAGATGGTCTTAGCAAGGACCATTTGGGCTCTAAATCCCATGCACTGGGGAATTAAGTAGGAGAAAATGATAACTAAAATTGGTACTATCTTTCTAAAAGCTCCCTACTAGAGATTATACATTCTACTTTTTCATCATCGGGGTTCCTAGTACAACACCAAGCTGATAGCAAATATGGAATAATGCTTATGGAATGAATAAGGAGCATTACTAGACCAGTTCAGTGTACCAAAATAAACTGGAAAAGCAGCAAGCAGAACTTGATAGACATGAAAACAAAAGAATCAGGTTCACTCAGTCCCCAGTGAGACGTTACTCACTTGCCACAGTTCTCCTGCCCCCTCAAACACTTTCGAGTACTGGATGTCAATAGTTGCACCAACACTGGTGACTACCATCCAAGAATGGTGAGAGAATGAATATGAAGTTATTTCAGAAAGTTAAAGTACACACAAGGGCTGAGTTTTTTCTGATGAGGTCATACTCACAGGAATGTTGCCAGCAGTAGCCCCAGCTCCGAATCTGGCACCTGCATCATACCCTCCTTCCACCAGCACTGTAGAGCCAGGTGGATAGATGGGACCGACTGGATAATAAGCCATGGGGATTGTGGAACCTAAAGGCCCAACAGCCACAGACTGGGCCATGGGAAGATACAGAGAGGCTCCAGGAAATGCGGCCGACATGGTGGGGACCGTGGCAGCCCCTGGGTGCACAAAGCTCGGACGATAGAGCTAGAAGAGGCAGAAGAGAAGGCAAAATGTTACTTTATGACATTCCTTTTTTTTTTTTTTAATTAGTTATCTGTATTTTATTTTTTTATTGCATTTTAGGTTTTGGGTACATGTGCAGAACATGCAAGATAGTTGTATAGGTACACACGTGGCAGTGTGATTTGCTGCCTTCCTCCCCTTCACCCACATCTGGCATTTCTCCCCATGCTATCCCTCCCCAGCTCCCACTTTATGACATTCCTATTTGAGATCTCTTTATTAAGCCAATTCATTTTTTTATTCCTCGCACTTAAAGAATTGTTCTAAAATAAGCCAATTCTTAGTTCTCCTTGTGCAGGTTATACTTTCTGTAAGATTATAGAAGTTGCCTTTCCACTGGCCTTCAATATTCTCCTGGATCACTTCCTGCTAAAGCTAAGGTTGGGATCACAGAACACAAATTCATCTCCTGCACCTCAGCCGGTGCCAAATAACACAAAATCATCAAATAATGCACTTTCAACTCCGACAAAAATTGCCAAATGATATACTGTTTCAGATTATTCCTGTGACCATTTTCTTCTGTTTGTGAAGAGTAAATATGTGAAGTGAGACTTAGCCAAGGACTAAAGGACCACTTAAGAGAATTCTCAGCTATTTCAAGTATGACAAACCGGACGCACCTCTGAGTAGGCAGGTGGAGCATCAGTATAGGGTGGAGCCTGAGGAAGATGCAAGGTCTGAGGATATACTGGATTCCCAGGAGGCTGCACAGGGTAGGTTGGCTGTGTTGGATATTGACCTGGAAGACAAGAAACAAATGTAGGTTGCCTACTACACAGCTACCAAAATGAGGCAGGGCATATTGGGTAGCTAACTTAGTAGGAGCAAGCGGAAGAGGATTTGCAAATAGTCTGCCCCAGAGGGTCTGATTCCTGGAACTAAGAAAATAAATATGTGTTGTCTCTGCACCCCTATAAGGGAAGGCGCTGGATTCAGACCCGACAGGAAAGGCACTGCTCACTGCCTTTACTAACATACCGATGTAAGGGGAAAGTCTAGCGGGGCCCAAGTTCCCTCCGGAATGCAGGACAGGTCTGAGCACCTGTTCCTGAGGTTCTGGCCTGCTGCTGTTCTGGCGTATCAAGGGTGCCTCTGCTCTAGGTAGTCTTCACAGCCTTTCTACAACCACACCAGTCTTCGTGGGTAACAGTAGTTCTGATTTTCCTTACAGATTACTATTCAAGGTCGACTTCCAAACAAAGGGTGTAAATGATGGAAGTGAACCGTGAGACTGGGAAAACAGTGCAGGGCTAAAGGGTGAGGAGGAATGTCCTCTCTGGAAAAGCGGGGGATCGTGTTTGGGGCTTTTTTTTTTCCTATTCCTTCCCCCGCCTCTCCCGCCCCCACCCGCCAAGCCTGTTCCTGGGTTATGGGAATCATGTTCTGACAGAAACAATGGTACCATCACAGAAAAGGGGAGAAATTCTGATCCCGCCAGCAAATGTTGAGGGGGTGCGGAGAAAGGGAGAAGAGACATCGGAGGCCCCGGCCCCCACACTAACTCCAGCAACTCACTAGTTAAGTTTGGGCCCTGCCGGGGGGTTCGAAGCGCGGCGCCCCGCCTCCGCCGGCTCTCCATTGGCCTATGCGAATGCCTGCGCTAAGGCTCTATTTGCTCCTGTGGATGCCCATCATGTCAAGCCCCCCCACCACCCGAGCCCGCAGTTCCAAACTGCGCCATAGAGTTTATGGAGAAGGGGCCTCGAGGCAGCGAGCAGCTGTAATTTTGGGATGACGAAGGCGTCAGGCGTAGCCCTCTGGACTGCAGCCGGCGGAGGAGCGCGGCGTAGCCCACCCCAAGCCCGGCGTTTGGTGACCCTGGGCTCCGGACCCGCTCGCTCTGGGCCAGCAGTACTTCCCCCAACGGCCTCTACCACCCTCTGTCCTTGCCTTTGCTGTTCATGGTGGCTGCGGGTCCGGTTCGTCTCGGCGTCGCGGACGGTTATTTTTTTCGTCCTCTTCCTGTTCGGGGCCACTTCCGTATCACGTGATGGTCCGTCCGCCTAGCGTCACCCGACGCCCAAGTGGTGCTGCCGCCGGAAACTCCGCCCCTGCGCCGGGCTTCCAGTCGGCTGCGGGAGGGTCCGCGCGGTCCCACCCACTCGTCTTGGCCCTACCCCCTGCTCGTTCTTGTCCTTCACCCCCTACCGGTGTCCCTCAGCTGGAGAAAAACCAAACGCAGGTATTGTCTCCAGCTCTGTTGGCCGCTCGGCGGAAGAACCGTGCTATAGCATTCCCCGGAACCTTTTTCCGCCTACACGCATTCACTCAAGGTCACCTCACATTGGCAGCCTTCCACTAGGGGCTTAGATTTCTCCAAATTTCTGGCACTGCGTGAAATTGGCTCCCCAAACCTTAGTTTATCATGCGTCCCACCCCTCCAAGCCCAACTTAAGCTTCAGCTCCGTGAAGGTTTATTTTGCCATCCCAGCTCACATGTATCCTTTCCTGAATGAGACCCGCACTAGAATCTTCGCCGCCGTGTCTGCTCCAGGACAGGCTGTCGGTCGGTCCTCCCGTATGTTGCTGCCTTTCTCACTTATAGGAAGGGGTTTTGTTTCCGTACTGTCCGCAACAGCTGCACTGAAACTGACATACTCGCTGTACCCATGGAAGTGCTTGTGGCCCTGGTGACCTGTATGATACCTTGTGCATATTTTCTCTGTGTATGGCTTTGCTTTCTAACTTAATTATCCTTAAGGGCAAAGATGGCATCCTTTAGGCAGCGATTAAGTGTTTTTCTTTTTTAAAAAATATATTTTTTTCTTTTTTTGAGATGGAGCCTTGCTCTGTCGCCCAGGCTGGAGTGCAGTGGTGTGATCTCGGTTCACTGCAACCTCCGCCTCCCAGGTTCCCAAGTAGCTGGGATTACAGGTGCCCGTCCCCCTGCTTGGCTAATTTTGTCCTTTCAGTAGAGACAAGGTTTCACCATGTTGGCCAGGCTGGTCTCAAACTCCTGACCTCAGGTGATCTGCCTGCCTCAGCCTTCCAAAGCGCTAGTATTATAGGTGTGAACCACCAGGCCCGGCCTCATTTTTTAATGCAGAGACAGGGTCTTACTGTGTTTGGCCAGGCTGGTCTTGAATTCCTGGCCTCAAGTGATACTTCTACCTCCATTGTCCAATAATTAAAGGGTTAACTCTTAGAACCCAGGAACTCTCCTAGGCCTAGTGCTGTCTCATGTAAGCTGCCCTCAGATTGGTTAGAGCCTACTTTACCGGGTGTTGGGTATTTTGCTTGTCACAGTGGGACCTGGGCATTGGAAAAACCAGGGCAGAACCAAATGAGATTACCAACAAAAATGAGAGTTCCAGGCTGCTCTTTTCTCTGGCAAGTAGAATTAAGAAGTAAATGGTGGCTGGGTGCAGCCGCTCACACCTGTAATCCCAACACTTTGGTAGGCCTAGGCAGGAGGATTGCTCGAGCCAGGAGTTCAAAACCCGCCTAGGCAACATAAGACTTCGTCTCTACAAAAAAAAAAAAAAAGTAGTAGTAACTAGCTACTTTCTTGGACAGGAATCAAACTTTGACATTTTCTTTCTTTCTTTCTTTCTTTCTTTCTTTCTTGCTTTCTTGCTTTCTTGCTTTCTTTCTTTCTTTTTTAAATAAATAGAGACGGGGTTTCACCATGTTGGCCAGGATGGTCTCGATCTCTTGCCCTCCTGATTCCCCCGGCCTCAGCCTCCCAAAGTGCTGGGATTACAGGTGTGAACCACCGCGCCCAGCCAACATTTTCTTCATTCTCATGGGTCCCCCAACGAGACGAAGATGTTTATTTGGTCGTTTATCAAACATTCTTTCTTGCATTAATTTAACAAATATTTTTTGAGCACCTATTATGTGCTGGGCCCTGTGACAGGCACTAGGGAAATAATAATGAACAGACAGGTATAGTCCCTACTCTCATTGAATTTATGGTCTGCCTAATGGAAGAGACAGAAAAATGAGCATATAATGATAACATAGTATGATTAGTGCTGACATAAGGACAGCATGGGGTGTTAGAAGAACACAAGTGAGGCACCTATTTTATTCTGATGTTGTTAGGGAAGGTTTCCTGGTGCAAGTGATGTTTGAGATGAAATCTGAAGGGTGAGTGAAAGTTAAGCAAATGAAGAGGGTTCCTGGAAGAGGAAATTGCTTATGCAAAGGCCTAGAGGTAGGAGGGCTTATAGAGGGGAGAGCATACTGGTAAGGTGACTGGTAAGAGATGACACAGAAGAATTGTGAGCCAGACCTTGCAGGGACGCCTTAGAGCCCATGTAAGATCCCACGTGAAGACACTGGATTCTATGCTAAGGGCACTAGCCACTGAAGAATGTCAAGCCAGAAAGTGATATGATCTTGTTTTTGTTTGACTGATTGATTGGGATAGGGTCTTGCTCTGTCACCCAAGCTGGAGTGCAGTGGTGCAGTCACACCTCACTGCAACCTTGAACTCCTGGTCTCAGTTCATCCTCTCACCTCAGCCTCCTGAGTAGCTGGGACAGCAGTTGCTTGCCACCAATGCCTGGCTAATTTTAAGTTTTTTGTAGAGAGAGAGTCTCACTTTGTTGCCTAGAGTAGTCTAGAACTCCTAGCCTCAAGAAATCCTCCTGCCTTAGCCTCCCAAACTATTGGGATTACAGGCATGATCCATTGCTCCTGGCTGTGTTTTTATTTTAGAAAAATGCCTCTGGGCCAGGCACAGTGGCTCACACCTGTAATCCTAACAATTTGGGAGGCTAAGGCAAGAGGATTGCTTGAGCCCAAGAGTTGAAGACCAGCCTATGCAATGTGGTCAAACCCCATCTCTGCAAGAAATTTCTAAAAAATTAACCAGGCACAGAGGCACACACCTGTGGTCCCAGCTACTCGAGAGGTTGAGATGAGAGGATTACTTGAGCCCGGGAGGTTGAGGCTGCAGTGAGCTGTGGTTACACCACTGCACTCCACCAGCCTGGGTGACAGAGGCTATCTCACAAAAAAGAAAAAGAAAAGGAAAAGTCCCTTTGGTGGCCACAGAACATAGAATAAGTTAGAGAAGGGCCAGGTGTGGTGGCTCACACTTCTAATCCCAGCACTTTGGGAGGCTGAGGCATGTGGATCACCCAAGGTCGGGAGTTTGAGACCAGCCTGGCCAACGTGGAAAAACTCCATCTCTACTAAAAATACAAAATTGGCTGGGCATGGTGGCACATGCCTGTAATCCCAGCTACTTGGGAGGCTGAAGCGGGAGAATGGCTTGAACCTGGGAGGCGAAGGTTGCTGTGAGCCAAGTTGGCACCAGGTACTCCAGCCTGGGTGACAAGAGCAAGACTCTGTCTCAAAAAAAAGGTCAGAGAAGTGGCAAGAGTGGAGGTATGTTCAATTTAGTCATTTAAGTGTGATGATGGCAACTGGCCTAGGGAAGTGGCAGTACAGTAGAGAGAAGTAGGGGGATTCAAAAACATTCAGGAAGCAAAAACAACTGGCTTAGTTCCAGGACTAATGTCAGGGACAAAAACTCTACAAAGTCAAAGCTCCAAATAGTCAAATGACAAGTTGGAAAAAGATATTTGTACTTTGCATCACAAAGAGCTAATCTTCCTGCTTTTTGTAAAGAACTTTTAGAAATTGGTGAGAACATGACCAACCGTTGGAAAAAAATATCAAATGGCACAGACAGACAGTTCACAGAAAAGGAAAGACAAATGGCTCCCTAATACATGAAATGATGTTTAGCCTGGGTCATAATCAGAAGGCAAATTAAACCCCACAGATACCATTATCAGATTGGCGAAAGTCCAAACGTTTGCTAACATTACTTTATTTACAGGGCTTTGGATAAGCAGACATTCTAATTTAATGGTGACGTGGGTGAAAATTGATACAAATCCTATAAGGTTAATTCGGCAATATCCATCAAACTTGTAAATACACCATTCCCAATAATGAGAGTGATTCTGCAGATATATTTGCACTGATGAGAAACATTGTATATATATAAAGCTATTCATTGCAGTATTTTTGTAATAGCAAAATATTAAGAAATAACCCATATTTCTATCAATAGGAAACAAGTAAAATAAATCTTGGTACATCCATATAATAAAATACTATGTGGCTGCAACAGAGAATGAGAAAGTACTCCAAGGTGGTTTTTTTTTTTTTTGAGACGGAGTTTCGCTCTTGTTACCCAGGCTGGAGTGCAATGGCACGATCTTGGCTCACCGCAACCTCTGCCTCCTGGGTTCGGGCAATTCTCCTGCCTCAGCCTCCTGAGTAGCTGGGATTACAGGCACGCGCCACCATGCCCAGCTAATTTTTTGTATTTTTAATAGAGACGGGGTCTCACCACATTGACCAGGATGGTCTCGATCTCCTGACCTCGTGATCCACCCGCCTCGGCCTCCCAAAGTGCTGGGACCACAGGCTTGAGCCACCGCGCCCGGCCTTCCAAGGTGTTTTTTAAATGAAAACAGAAAGATTCAAAAATCATATGCTTTAGTATGACACATTTTTTTTTATTTTATATTTTATTTTAGTACAGAGTCTCACTCTGTCACCCAGGCTGGAGTGCAGTGGCATGATCTCGGCTCACTGCAACCTCCATCTCCCAGGTTCAAGTGATTCTTGTGCCTTGGCCTCCCAAGTAGCTGGGATTACAGGTATGCACCACCAAACCTGGCTAATATTTGTATTTTCAGTACAGATGGGGTTTCACCATGTTGGCCAGGCTGGTCTCCAACTTCTGGCCTCAAGAGATACGCCCGCCTCCACCTCCCAAAGTGCTGGGATTATAGGTGTGAGCCACCACACCTGGCCAATATAATACTTTTTATGTCAAAGAACAGGAAAACCAAGAATATTCATTAGAATTTGAGTAAAGAAATTCTGGAAGGATACACAAAATACCTATAAAAGTGATTACAGAAGGGGGAGAGTAGAAAATGTGAAATAAAAGGGGAAAATGAGATTTTTCACTATACACTTTTTAGATTTTTAAAAATATTTGAGGGTGGAGGAGGAGGAGGAGAAAATAAAAATATTTGAGCCTATAATCCCAGCACTTTGGGAGGCCAAGGCAGGAGGATCACTTGAGGCCTGGCATTTGAGATCAGCCTGGGCATCAATTGCCAGGCACTGTGGCTCATGCCCATAATCCCAGCACTTTGGGAAGCTGAGGTGGGTGGATCACCTGAGGTCAGGAGTTCGAGACCAGTCTGGCCAACCTGGTGAAACCCCGTCTCTACTAAAACTACAAAAAATTAGCTGGGTGTGGTGGCAGGTGCCTGTAATCCCAGCTACTCAGGAGGCTGAGGCAGGAGAATTGCTCGGTCCCGGGAGGCGGAAGTTGCAGTGAGCCGATCACACCATTGCACTCCAGCCTGGGCAATAGAGCAAGACTCTGTCTTAAAAAAAAACACACATCAATTAGCCTGGCATGGTGGCTCATACCTATAGTCCCAACTACTTGGGAGGCTGAGGTGGGAGGATCACTCGAGTCCAAGAGTTCAAGGCTACAGTGATGAT